TCCACAGGCACTTAAGCTCAAGGTAATCTTGCTGTGAGCAGCATTTTGGGAAGGCCCCACAGGTGAGGCCATGTTTTCTTTAAATGGTCTGTTTGTCCTTTCTGCACATGACCTCCATTTAGCACTTTCCCTCATCTGCATTACATTTTCACTCCTTTGGAGGGAATGATTGGGAGGAACTAGATTGTTATGGTCCCTTTTCTTTCCTAACACATAACAATGCCTGAGAAACAAATCAAGATCAGAAGACCAAGGAACTTTGTGATTAAGCACGGAGCTACAAAGATGTAACCTAAAATTTAATCTTAATTTTGCTTTTAAAGAGTAAATACTTTCATTTTCTTCATTTTTCTCCACTCTAGTCCCTGAAAATTATAAACTGAGCCATTAAATTGAGGAGATGCTAATGACAAATCAAGAATTTTGGAAGGATCTACAAGTACCCATTCATAACAAACTTTTCCAGTCAGAATAGAATTAAACTGGGTCACTCCTCCCTGTAGTCCAGGCTTCACCGAATACTCTGCATGTGCTGAAGAGCTAATGTGATGTTGTGGAAAGGGTGGGGAGAAGAGGGTACCCGCAATAACACTCTTAAAGACACTGGCTCTCAATTTCCCTATCCACAAATGGAGAAGTTGTATCTTTTCTGCCCACCTTGAAGGATTATCATAAGGAATAAGGTAAATTTAGGTGGAAAATACTCAGTACACTAAAAATACTACACAAATCAAAGATACTTATCTGTTTTGCTTATTTCATAAGTTCTGTTCTTGGGAAACCAGCCTTCTTCCTTATAGTCTGTCGTCATACCAAGCCCCTCTCACTTAACACCCAGTCTATTTTGTTGTCTCACAAAATACATAGAAATTAGGGAAGAAAGGAGGAGACATTTATTTACCATCTACTGTGGTCCAAAGTCTGTGCCAAGATTTTACATCCAATAACTCACTGATATTATTAGAGCCATATTTGTTTTACAGAAGGATCAGAATGATTGGGTGGACTCTCCCTGGGTGGGGTGGGCCCTCCCTGGTGGTGCAACAGGTTAAAGCACTGCAGCCACTTCACCTCAAATTTGATCCCCGGCCAGGGAGGTGACCCACGTAGCATGGCAGACCTCTCCTCACCTGCCTGCTGCTCCCCTCAGCAGTGCACTTTGTTGATCTGCCTGTTCTGCTCCCCTCTCTGCCTAAGGTGAATCTCTTCACCCTGCCTCCCCCCCCATGCCCCCCCTTTGAGCTGTATCCCAGATCTGTATGCATAAATAAATAAATCTTTAAAAAAAATTGGATGATGCGCTTAGTGCCACACAGTAGAGTGTAGCAGAGCTAGAGCGCAAATCCAGCATTGATTTGACTCTAAAGCCATACATACTGTTCCTCCTAAGGTCTCTTCAGTATTTACATTACAGAAAAGTGATATGTCCCAAAACTTAAAGTTGTAGAACTGGTTACACCCGTTCCCTTCTCGCTACTCCACCCCCTGCATGTGGCCTGCCTTGCCCGAGCTGTAAGGACAATCCCTGGCCCCCTCTGCCTGTGTCCCACACTGTGCCTGCAGCCCTTATCCACCCACACTGCAAGGTGAATACCAGGGCAGGAGTCAGAAGCCTCTTGTCCCAAAGGCAGAAGCAATATCGGTGGTTTTCCTTGCCTATTCTGGGTCTACCACCCTCAAGCACCAATCATAGATGTGAGAGCAGGAGTTGACGTGGGCTTTGTACTTCCTCTCCGCTTCACCTGGTTTGGTCTGGTCAGATGCTTGCACCTAACCCAGCTGCTTCACCGACTAATTGATTTTTCCAATAAATCTCAGCGATTGGACATTTGCTCTCCTCCATATTTGGCCCAGATCCAACCAGGGCTCTGGTGCTTGGAGTCAGGTCCTTTCTGGCCCCCTTGTGTACTAAGAAGCTGCCTGCCTTTCCCCAGAATAGGCCTCTTATCCATTCGACCTGCTTTCCACCTCTGTGTGCAGGAAAGTGAGCCTCCCCAGAGCTGCCCTGGAAGCCTGTGCTCTCCTGCTGACAGCAGCACTAAGGTCTATGTGTTGCTCTCAGGAAGCAGTTTTCACATCTTTGCAGACTGTTCCCTTGACCAGCTAAGACTCTTTATTATTATTATTTTTTTATTATTATTATTATCATTTTTTTTATGCTTACAAGAACTGGGCTACAGTCCAGATGTGCAGGGGGGTGAGAGGATTCGCCAGAGACAGAGGGGGTACAGAACAAATGGATTCACTGAAATATACTACTGAAGGAAGCAGTGGGTGAAACAGGAGAGGTCGACCATGCCATCCCTCCTAGCCAGAGTTCGAACTTGTGCTACAGTGGCTGCAGACAGCCTATAGTGCTGCCCCTGGCCCAGTGCACCACTAGGGAGGGCCCTACCAGCTTATACTCTTAACACAGGCTGTGCAGAATTTCTTCAGCTTTTACATATAACATTGTTCAAAAACTACATTTGATTTCTACTGCACCAAAGTATGACTAGCAGTTAATAATCTGAGAATCTAAAGGTTCTTAAGCCCCTCTTAGGAAAATACTAAGTTACTCAGCTAACTAACAGCGTCTTTTAGATAAAAATACCAACAAGGAATGGGAGCTTAGGCCCTGTCTCCTGGAACATCCAGGGCAGTTGAATTACTCTCTGGTCCTATTATGACCTCATCAGCCCTTCCAGAAACCTGTGCTGGTGGGAAACAGCACAGTAAACAGAATCACCTCAGGAGTCCCAGGAGAACTGTAAGGGACTTGCTTGTCCTGCCAAATTGTTTCCTTTCTCTTGGTTCCATCATGGTTAGTCTCCAAACTTAAAGGAATTCCACATAGGCTCACAGATGTTCTGAAAACAGCAGGGCCTATTTTAAATTAGAGCCCTTAGAAAGCCAGATACATAAAGTCTCAGACAGTATTTCAGATTGAGGATCTGGCTCCAAGAGATGGGAAGAAGCTAACCTTCGAAAATCTTCTGTGACAACTAGAGACTGTCTTAAGAAAACTAGCCTTTGAGACGCCGTCTTCACATTTACTGTTTTGTTCCATCAGCAAAGCTAGAAAAGCCTTTTGCAGGTCAAGCTGTTGCCTCCTAACGCATTTAGACTTGCCGCATCCTAAGATGCATTGGAAAGAACTCACTTCCATAGTTCTTACCCAACATTCTCCGGATTTTTTTTTTTTTAAGAAGTATTTCTTTATTGTAAGATACTTATTTATTTATTTAGTGTAGAAGAACTTGTGGTATTGACCAGAGATGCAGGGGGAGAGAGGATTCACCAGAGACAGAGTGGAAAACAGAGAACAGGAGGATCTACTGAAATGCACTGCTGAGGGGAGCAGCTGGAGAGATAGGAGAGGTCTGCTGTGCCCTGTGGGTCAGTTCCCTGGCCAGGGCTAGAACTCAAGTTGTTGGGGTGGTAGCATTGAGACTTAACCCCTTGCTTTTTAGTGAAGAAAAAATTCTATTCTGATCCTTCCTTCTCGTATTTTAATAGTTCTAGGACTGGTTGCCTCTTTTGACCTGGATTATAAACCTGGAAATTGGAAATAGAGGTCAGGTAATTTAAGGTTTTAGTAAAGCCATCAGCTTTTATGGTACATTTGGGATTTGAACTCAGGAACTGCCTTTTCCAGTAACCCTTGCGCGTCCCAAATACAGATCCGTCTGTGCTATGAACTTCTAGTTCCATCCCCGAGACCCTTATATCATCATTGATGTCTCTGAGAATTCATGTTGTTCCTAAAAGCAAGATCTGTTTTATATCTAGTCTTTTCTTTTCATTGAATTTAAGCTCAATAAAATATTTGACTAGACGCAGTCTTTCAAAAGTTAAAAAAATAAATAAAAAGTCTCCAGTCACTCCCTTGGCAGAAAATTTGCTATTTCTCTCAAAATTTAACAGTATCAATATGTTTGGGATTTTCAAAAGATGTGGGACTCACTGATATCTCTAGGGCGAGAGTTTCAGTGTTGCTCTTGTTTTCCAGAAAAAGAGTTCAGTATAAAATGCAGCTAATAGTGAGGTTTTGTGAGAGGTTTTTGCATAATAAAAGTCGTCACTGAGCAACATTAGCTACAGACACTCCTCCCCATAAATCCATGGAGACTCTGTGAAAAGCATTTCAGAGGAATCCAAACCCCAAGTAGTCTTTGGCAAGGGGTAATTTGCCATGATGATAGTTAAATAAGGAGAATACTGAGTAGCTCACTACAAAGAAGCATCTGAAAATGAAACTAGCTGTGGCTCAAATCCCTCAATTGAAAATGTATATAAAATTCTCACAGTGGCAGCCCAAATTGGCCTCTTCTTTTTATAAGGCATATTTGACAATGCATACCAAGAAGCTTAAATCATACCCTTTTGACCTAATAATCCCATTCTTAAGACATTATCTCAAGGAATTTATAAGAGTAAGGAAAACAGAGATGGGGTGTGGGGGGCTATATTAAGAGGAGACAGGACAGACTTGGGGGAATAAAGAATTAAGACTATACATATGTCTGGAGCAGCATTATTAATAATTAGCAGAGAACTGGAGGCAACCTGATTTTCCAAATGTAAAAGAACAGCTAAGTACATTTTGGTATCGTCATTCTTTGAGGTACTATGCAGCTATTAGGAATAAGGTTACAGTGTACAAACCAGGACAGTGTGTTCAGTGAAAGCACAGAACACAGAAATGCAAATATGTCTTGGTGACAGACAAGCAAAACAAACAATAAAGAATAGAAGGGAACAGAAAGAGATGAAAATAGCTATTTAGCACAGTGAGACTACAAGACTTTAAATATTAAAACTTTCTTTTGTTATAACCATATTCAGCTTTGAGGAAATTTTTATTGCTTTTCCAGCTTTAACTTTTATAGGTCATATTTCATAATTATTTTTGGATCTTAAGGTTATTTTACAAAGGATACACATGGAATATTCTAACCTAGTGTGAAATATGGAAAATTGCTAATTCATACATACTGATGTTATTTTTTAATTTACAGTGAAGGGAACTTGGCTACAAAGCAGGTTGTATTCCTTCAGAGACCTGTTATGTGGAATTCAGCTGCTCAAACACCAGAAGTGAGTAAAATTAATGCTTTACAAAGTGAATGTTATAATTGTTTAAGCATTTGAATCTTACACTCTCATTGTAAATTCTAAGTCAAGAACACAGGTGAGGAAGTGTATATTTGCTATGAAACAGTCTTTAGAACAACAAATAACAAGGGAAATATGCCATCAACCAAGCAACATTGTTATAGAGCACCCCAAATCTGTTAAAAGGACAGGGCAAGAGAGGGGCACCCCTGAAGCCCAAAATCCTGCCTGCTCTAAGTGGGTTCTGCCATCCACCGCAGCAAGACAAAACATATAAAACTTTAATGAAAAGGGACTTTAATACAGTAAATATACAATACGGTACACAAAGAATATAACTTCTAAATCAAACACCTGAAGTGACCCATCCCCCTTGTGGGCAAAGTCAACCCAAAAGGGATTGGCCCAAAGCAAGGCCTGAAAGCTGCCACAAGACTAAAGCACCTTCTGGCCGGGACCCATGGAAAAGGGTCAGAAATGGCCAGACAAATCTGGGAGCAAAAGAGCAAAATCAAAATCAAAACAAACACTGCCATAGTCACCTCCTTACAGGCATCTCACCCACATCTGCCTTAACCAGTCCAGGGTCAGGAAACAAGCCCGGTTTCATTACATGCTTGCTGCTCCATGTGGCTTCCTCAGGTCTCCATCTTGTTCTCCATCCTGCTTCATTCTCTTCTTCCCCTTCTCTTCTCTCTTTTTTCTCTGCTCAGCTCCACCCTCCTTCTGGGTGGGGCAGGGAACCTGGAACTTCCCTTTTTCCTAGGGACCACCTTGTTACATACAACTTGAGACAGTTCTACAGGTGATTAGAAAATACCACCTCAAAATACGCTTCTTTGGCACGTGGATTATTTTAGACTAAACACAATTGAAAACAGCAGAAACAAGAAATGCTCTACTTTTTCCCTCCCTAATGAAAAGCAGGGCATAAATGTCTCTTCTTAAACGTGACACCAATCTCCATTTGTAAAATTACCTCCTGTACCAGGAAAAGAAAACTCTCTCACCAAAAGTGACTTTTACCCCTGTAGCTGGCACTTACTAGAATCTGCATAATCAAATCTGACCAAAACAAACGTTATTTTACATCAGATTGCCCATATACTTACCTTCCTATGATTTACTGGAAATACCGTAAAAGCCCAAAGTTCTTTTCTGTTGTCTAGGTCTTCTACACAGTGGCTCACCCTTTGTTAAAATGGCAAGTGAGTTCACAGGTCTAACTATCTCTTTAGATTTCTAATGTCCCTAATGTGTATCCAAAAACAAATCTTTCTCCTGTTAACCTTATTGACAGTTTAATTTGAGCTCCAGATATCAAAAGGTAGAGAGAATTGTTTCCCTCCCCAGTATTTGTAGCCTTCTAAGTGATTTTGCCTAATCTTGATCAGGTCCATGCAATCTTGTCCATCCTGATCTCTGACAGCACTTTATACTGTCCCCCCCAGTTAGTTTGCCACCCCTTTGCTAAAGGGTAGGCTAGGCCTCGACTCACCTTTGCCATACTGAATGCACAATCATTGAATGAAGTAGCATGTTTATTAACAAATCATAGCTCTCAAAAAGGGAATCTGTAAATCATCCAGGAAATTATTTAAAGCGATTCTCGGTTGGTTTGTTTTCTTCTTATATTAAGAAAATACTGTTTAAAAAATAAAACTAAGTTGTGTCACATTAATTTTGGAAAGAGTCTAATTGACTCAACAGTTCAGTCAGTAGAAAGAGGTTAGGGAAATGCCTCCACGCAATCCGCATGGCAGGAGAGCTGAGTGAACAAGCGCGCAGATATTAGCAAGACTGTGCTAGTGCCCGCGGGTGAGCAGTGCCCTCATGCCCAGTGAGGACGGCTGATTGCACAAGTTTGTTAAGAAATATTCTGTCAAGAAGAAGCAAGCCTGGGTGTATATATATATAGACAGACTAGGGAATGCTTTCCACACAAAGCAAACGGGCTTTCTCCACCCTGCGTGAGGCAGAGAAAAGCGGGCTCTACTGTGTGAGGGCGGCACCCTCGGGTAGCTCAAGCTTTTTTCCCTGTTAGCTGAGTTCAGAAAACTGCTCAGGTTGCTGGCTACGCAAGGGACTTTACTAACCTTCCGGCATCACTCAGATCCTCCAAAAAAGAGCTACAAACACCAAAAATGAGGTACTGACACCAGGACTGGACACCCCCAAGATGTTCTCATCTTCCTCGGCTACTCTGTGTATAGTCCAGGGGCCATCTTAGGAGGGGCAGGGGCCACTTAGCAGAAGGTTTTTTCCTGGAGTCAGAAGGGCAGTCCCAGGGGAACTCTGCTTGAACCGGGCTGATCACATGGCTCGCTGCCTCAGAGCAAGAGAGGAAAGCTGACTGCAGATGTGGCTGCCCCTGTCCTGTCTCCTCCTCAGGCTTTTCCTCTCCAGGCTTGAATGATTTTGAACATTCACAGTGAGCAGACAATGGTGGTACTTCTCTGAATGCTGTGTGTGTTTTTAAGACTTATTTTTTGATGCATATAAGAACTGAGGTACAGGCCAGCAGTGTAAGGAATGAGAAGATTCACCAGAGATAGAGTTGGGAGCAGAACAGGCAGATTCACTGAGACACAATGCTGAGGGGAGCAAGGGATTAAACGAGAGAGGTCTGCTGGGACATTACACTCGGTGACTACGTATTAATGCCTATCTAAAAGTAAATAACTATGAATAACTTATTATTCTGAGTAATACCCAATTTTTACTAAGAAAGTTCTCACTGAGAAAATTCTCACTGGCATACAGTAAGCAATTACTGCTGAGGGTTAAGGTCAGGCAGCCAATGCTTCCAGGCCCTGCCACCTATCCCCTTTCATTCAGTTAACAGAGGGCTCCCTCAAATGTGAATACATTCTTTATGCTCTGGGAAAGGGAGCCAGGATTGAGAAAGGAGTCTGGCAATACTTGTAGTCCTGCCTGGAGCCAAAAGCCTTCATCTTCCTGACTAGCATCCCAGGCCAGGAAGAATATGCCATTTTCAAGACCTGTTCCCTGTCTAAGAGTAAATCTCTCAGATTCCGCTACTTGTGCTCAATTCAGAACATTTGGTGAATGAGAATGGCAGAAGAGGGTTTGGGATCTGACATTTGTATTTGATGAATACAATAAAAAGTCACCACCACCCCCAAGTTATATCTGGCTTGGGATCGCTGAAGTGGGCCTTTGTCCAGGAAGAGCCCAGTATCTCTTGCTCCCTTACACCTTCCTGAGACTCCACTGTCTGTGTCAAACAAAAGAACTGCCCTGAGGGTCAAATACACTTCTCTGGCATTCGCTAAGGGGTGTGTCTTCCTACACAAACAGGGGTGTAAACATCAGTAACATTCCATTGTAGCCCACAAAACCCAATTCAGTTTGCTTTGTATGTTTGCCATGAAAACGAATAGAAAATCCTTCACACACTACAGTTCAGCAAACGTATGGGTGTTCTCTCTTCACCAACAAATGTACTAAAACAAAACTTTTCTCAACCAGCCTGGACATCTGGTTTTTATGGTTCTTTTGTAAGTTCAGCTCTCATGTTTAGGAAAATGCAAGCCTAGCTCCCAACTAACACGTAAATGAACTTTCAGCAGGGCCTCCCTGATGGCATAAGGGGTTAAGTCTCAGCACTTTGTGGCTATCAGCAGCCACTGCATTAGTTCATCCCTAACCTACATGGCACAGCAGACCTCTCCCTTCTTGCAGGCTGCTCCCTCAGCAGTTTACTTAGGTCAAGCTGCCTGCTCTGCTCCCCACTCTGTCTCTGGTGAATCTTCTCACTTCCTGCAGCTCTTGCCTACACCCCAATTCTTATATGCATAAATAAATCTTTAACAAAAAAATGAACTTCCAGCAAATAAACTCTTGGTAAACTGGGAAAAAAAATTTTTTTTCTGTTTACCATTAAGTTCTTGTTCAATTTTTTGTGTCCAGGCGTATTTGATCATCTTCTAATATTGATACATGACATTATTAATAATCAATATTAAAGAAGCTCATGAAAGGAAGTTTCCACAGGAATCTAAACATCCACATGTTGACCTGCTCCTTGAACTGTGCACTTATTTATTTAGAAATATTGTCTTAAGTCCTTGACAAAGACCATGTTTCTCTGAACCCAGGTCATTGTCAGCCTGCAGTAAATGTTTCAAAACTAAAACATCCACAGCTTATCAGACAGCCTGCAGGATGTGCCAGGCAGAGGCAGTCTGAGGCAGAAGAAGGGTCTGCTTGACCCAGGAAGATGTGCAGACATTGCTTCAGTATAAACCCAATCTCAATGATCTGTTTCTCTTCTGGGCAGCTTATTCCTATGTGAAATGGGTACGCGGTGGCTACCGAGCACTTTTTCTGATCTCTAAATTCCAACTAAAACTAAGAAAAATGAAAGCCCAAGTGGATTTCTACCCTACTGTGTACCCCTAGGCATGATGTCAGCAGATCTCTCTCCTCAGAGATGTTATTGAGGGCCCAGATGTATGTATAACCAAACTGCCAATGGGGGGGAGACGTGCCAGGAATCTCCGGTGATTGTCAAACAGAGAGAGATCATTTTTATTTGGGACTTGGAGAACATGAAGGGTAGTTTTGAGCTGCTCCTTAAATGTGAGCAGGATTTTGTAGAGAAGCAGGGAGAGACATTTCAGGGCTAGAACAGCAATTGCTAAATCAGAGAGACTGGCACCCTCCCATCTTTTTAACTCCTGGTTGCCAACCTTTGTGTTTCAGAGAAAAGCCAGCCGGCATATAAAAGGTGAAGACAAGACCAAAGTCACCACCAGCAGGAGCATTGGATTGGACACAGCCACATCACAAACTCCAGAGGGCAGACCCCCACCTGAGGAGTGTCCTCTCTCTCCCTCTAAAGAATGCTGGATGAAGGACAGGCAGCCAGCACAGTATAGCAGTTTCTCTGGGCTCAGCAGCAGTGACAGTGTCCTGAGGGAATTAGATGATGGACAGTTTGATCAGGAAGATGGAGTAACTCAGGTCACTTGTATGTGACAGGACAGTAAAGCAATGGAAGCCCCTGTGAATAACTATTAAAATAATTTTCAACTGACTTGATTGTATTACTTTATCTGCATTTAGATAGTACTCTGAATTTTCAAGACTTGGGCTCTCCTCTAATCTTCCTAAACTTTGACTCAACCTGCCAGATAAGGAATAATAACCAATATATTTGTAAATATAGAATAATGTTTACACTTCTGTCAAGCAGAACATCAGTTTAAACAGATGTTTTATTAGGTTATTAGCCAATAATCTATTTGTTTCTCATGAGTGTATAAGTATACTTTTATAATTTTCTTACAATTCGTGGAAAGAAGACTAAATATCTCAACCAATATTTTATTTTACCTAATTAGAAAGCTCTCAGGAAGTTAAACTCTTATTGAAACTGTAAAGTAATTCTGTCTTTCCTATACACACACCAAGGGCTAATTAATGAAATGTTTCCTTAAATAACAATCCAAACTTTGTCTTTAACTATGGAAAATATACACAAAGAAAGCTTATATTTGTTAAAATATTATTTGAAAATAGTTCTTTGGTATGTCTTTGCTTTTAAAAGAGTCAACATTTCATCAACCTTGTACTGATTCATTGAGCTTAAACTTTCTTTCTTCTAATAAAAACTCAGAAGCAGAGCAAAGTTGTATCCCTTAAAAACTCAATATTAAAAAAAAAAAATCCCACAATCCTAACATTTACAAGCTTGAAATTGCAAATAGGATGAAAATGGAAACCATCAACTTTAAAGGGGAGCTGGAGTCTTTTCATCTATCTAGATTTGGATTATGCTTTTATTTTGATTGGTAAATCTTGAAGAACATAGAAACACAGAATTTTCAATCCTGCAGAGTGGAAATGTTCTCAGAGCATACCTAAAGTATACAGCAATTTGTTCCATCTCTGCTTTTTTTCCTTTGCTAGTAGGGATGTGGTTGCCTTGTGTAATGTGTAACTGTTAAGAGGTAAAGATTAAAATTTTACAAAAGAGGGTTTACATTTATCTATTAAAGGATAACTTTTAAATGTGGGAACATTCAAGTCGAATACAACTAATTTTGCCATTTATGAATTCAGCCTATTATATATTTTTATTAGCTTTGGTGTTGACAATATAAGTTAATTGAATAATAAATGTCATTTGTTATTTGCCTATTATTTTATTGAACATAAATATTCATGCCTTATGTTTGACAGATATGTATTGCATGTGATCAAACATATAATCTAAACCAATCTCCAAGAATTGTTGATAATATTAATGTGAAATTATTCCGTTACCATGCAGAAACATAAACTCTATAGTAATACCTTTATGAATGACTTAAGAAAATTCTGCTCAGTATTATTCTATGGAAATAACTATCAAAATGTCTGCAGAAATGTTTTTTTTTGTTTGTTTTTTGGTAAATCTGAGTTCATATTCTAGAATTAGATTGTTGGTATAAACAAGTATTATTACTTCTGGAACCCATAAAATGCCATTAAATTATTTAATGTACTCACAAAGATTTAATGTACTCACAAACTGTTTTGCACAGAGCCAGGATCCACAAGTTGGTATTTGACTACGAGATAATCAGGAATAAATCAGTCACTTTTACTTTTTTAAAATTTGTGCAAACATACTTTCTTTTTATAGTTTGCCTTTCATCTGTGTCATTTTTTAAGTTGTTCATTAGCATAAACTTAGTCATATCCTCAAAATCTATTCATAATCATTTACTCCAACAATTAAATTTGTATTAAGGTGAATAAGTAGTAAGTAGTTCTAGATCATTTTAAGTATATATATTTATATATATATATATTTACATATATATAACATATATGTTCTGAGTCTATTCTTTAATTTTATATATATTTTACATAATTCTTCATTTTTGTACAATGCTTTCTCCTCTCAGGTGTAGTCCCTGTGAAATTCCCACGACCCATTCACCTGTGTCCCATCAACATAGTCCCTTGTGCTGAGTCAATTCTTCAAAGTAACAAAACGGACTCTATGTCTGAGTTAAATGTGACTAACCTTACTGTTACCTGTCAGTTGCTTACTTATTTTCATAACAGTATATAACTCCTTAGGGACTCAGGCATGTGGATTTTTAATACCTATAAATTAAGACAGACAACATCATGACCACAGAGGTTGTGAAGTTCCATCATTCCCCTTGGGATAGCATCTATGGCACCTATACTTGAGGTTTCAATAACCACTTAATTTTATCCTATTTGTTTTTGTCTGTTTTGGTTTATTTTTTCTGCACAGAACTGGATATAGGCCAGAGATGCAGGGCTGGGGGTGGGAGTGAGAGGATTCGCCAGAGACAATGGGGAACAGGACAGATCTACTGAAATACACTGCTGAAGGGAGCAGCAGGTGGGACAGGTGAGATCTGCTGTGCCATATGTGGGCTAGCTCCCTGGTAGGGGATCAAACTCAGGCCTTAGCTGCAGTAGGTGATAGCGCTGAGACTTAACTCCTAGGCCACTAAGGAGGTCCCTATGCTACATTTTCCCTTCTCTAACCAATACTTGAAAAATTCCTTCTTACTACTCCTCCCAAAATGATCACATTATTCTAAATCTTGTCATATAAACACACTGTGCTGTTCAGATGTTCAAATTAAACTATACAGAAATACAGCATCAAAAGAAATTTTTCAAGGCCTCCCTGATGGCACAAAAGTCTCAGCACTATGAGCCATCAGCAGCCACTGCAGCACTGGTTCCATCCCTAACCTATATGGTGCAGCAGACCTCTCCTCTCCTGCCTTTCCCGCTGCTTCCCTCAGCAGTGTTATTTCAGTAAATCCACCTGTTCTGCTTCCCACTGTCTCTGGTGAATTTCCCTCCCTACCTGCACCTCTGGCCTACACCCCAGTTCTTGTACACATAAGTACATAAATCTTTCTTTAAAATATCTTCATTGGGGACCCTCCTGGTAGCACAGTGGGTTAAAGCACAGCACTAAGATGCTAAAGCCACTTCAACATGAGTTTGATCCCCACCCTGGAGGTGACCCACAGGGCGCAGCAGACCTCTCCTGACCGCCTGTTCCCCTCATCAGTGTACTTCATCAGTCGGCCTGTTCTCCCCGCTGTCTCTGGTGAAGCTTCTCACTGCCCCTGCACTTCTGGCCTGTACTCCAGTTCTGTGTGCACAAATAAATAAATCTTAA